ATGTGCCTGAGGCTGCCTGAACCTATAACAGATCTGACATCAGCGTTGTCATGCTCTGCTCAAAAAGGCGTTGTGATAGACGGCCATCTGCAGGGAAACTTCCCCTCTGTGCTGTTCCTCATGCAAAGCCCTTACTGCAGTGTTCAGCTAGTTTGGGGGAATCATAGCAGTAAAGAGAACAAAACCGTAATAAACAGCCATAAAAGGAAAATAAACATTCAGAGCAAAAAGAAGAGCTGCTGGAAATAAATTAAAAGGAGAGCTTTCATCTCATTTAATGTTTTATTTTTAGTAGAAGTTAATTTCGGTTTGAACAAATGGCAGGTAAGGATGCGTTATGGAAATGAGATGCAGATTTAAGCAATTCTGCTAGAAGAAAGGGAAAGACAGGCATGCAGGAGGCATTGCTCAAGGAAATGGAGGTGAGCTGAGCAGAGCTATACTGGTGTGTGTGCTGAAGCAGCCTTGATGCTGCTGGCTGTTGCCTACCACAAGAAACACGCTTGAGCCTGAAGCAGACAGCTGTGCATGATTTCCCTCTGGCAGCCTCCCTTAATTTTATCCTTGGGAACATTCCCAGAGCTGACGGCTGCACCCCCTCATTGCACTCCTTTTGTCCTAATGGCAAGCCACCACTCAGGGGATGCACTTCTGCCAGACTCCACCTGTTGCAAGCATTCCTGCAGCAGCACAGAGCTGCAGAAAGTTTGAAATAAAATGCAACTTTCTTGTCAGCAGACATTTTTCCAAACAAGACAGGCTGTGCAAACTAGAGGATTCTCCAGTAGCTGATCTGCTTGAATGTGACAGAAATACCCCCTGTGTCAGGGTAGAACAGCCTGAGTGCAGAACAAAAGCAGAGGGCTGTGCCTCACCAAGTCTGTCATATTTCCCTGAACCTCCTTTTCCTCGTCTGTAACTCTCATACGGTCAGATTCAATTTCCCAAACTTTCCGCTTGGCACAGGGTCCCACCAAGGATCTGGAAGCTGATGAGAACTTTGCTGAATATGCAAGTGCCAGCAGAATTCAAGCATTTGTTCTGTATTTTAAAAGGTAGAAAACGAATCAATTCCTCTGTGCCACAGTCAACTTCTGAGACTTCCTGGAGTGCTGCTGATTGCTGGGCTCTGGGTGCGCCTCTGCACCTTGCTCACTGCTCTGTGGGTCTGACTTGGAAACCAGCACAGCTGTCACTGTTGCAAGAAAATGTGGTTCCTTTCCGAGGTGAATCTTTAAAGCAGCTGATGGAGGCTCTAGGGATTGAAGTTGTTAGATAATATCTGTGTTTGGCCAGGTTCTGAGCATCCTCAGGGCCTCTGGAGCAGCCCTGATGTTTTGTTGCTTTGTTAAACTTATCCATCGTGCACTGTGTGCTTGTAGAGCCTGTATTTTCTTTGTTTTTGTCTTTCACCTTTAGGCTCTGAATTTCTTTTTAATGGTACAGTATCCAAATGATAATATTGCCTTTGCAAAGGCTCAATGTCAAATGAGAGAAATCCTACCGTCTTGGGACAGACTACTTGCTATGTTCCTATAGGTAAACGTTGCCCAAGGAGGCTGTGGATGCCCCATCCCTGCAAGCATTCAAGGCCAGGCTGGATGTGGCTCTGGGCAGCCTGGGCTGCTGGTTGGCGACCCTGAACATAGCGGGGGTTGGAGCTGGATGAGCACTGTGGTCCTTTGCAACCCAGGCCATTCTATGATTTCAGTTTAAAATCAGTATGCATGCAGGTCTGTGAAGTATTTCTCCTGTTTTAAGAATGCACAGTATCCTACTTAATACAAAGCGTGACAATCATGCCTAGTATAGGACCTAAGCATTAATTTTAAATGAGCTCATTTTGTCTTGGAGACATGCCTGATGTAGCTAGTGAGGGATGCAGGCATGTCCATATTTAGAGTACTCAGGAAGCATCTTCTCAGCAGCTGTTGGAAACAACAAGCAGCTCCTGAAGCTCAATTGATTTATCCATCTATAAATGGTGTGCATGTGAGAACTGCCATGACGCTTCCTAAATGATGAGCCCAAAAATTTAAATCTGAAGGAAGACAAACTCCAGTGATGACTGAACTGTATGTGGACGTGCAAAGAACTGATGGGATGCTTGGCAGTACCAAGGCCCTGGGGTTTGGTTGAATTCATTGCTTTACAGGCAAAGGCAAAGCACGCCCCAAACTCCTGCCAGCCTGCATCCTCTGCTGGCCCTGCTCAGCTCCCCATGGGCAGAGTCCTGCTTTCATGCAGCACCCTACTCAAATCAGAAAGAACACACCTGGATGGAGCCAGGTGTAGTGCCTGAGTCACCTGGTGTGGGCAGGTGTAATCATATATAAGCAATTGTTGTAAATGCGTATTTGTTTTTCTAAAACTGCTTTGGTTATTCTGATATGACAGCAGAAAACTAGTCTGAATGACTTGTGATTTAATAGCTGTTGGGCACTGACCTCAGTATAGACACTGTTAGGAATGCTGCTGCACTCAGCTTTTTCACTGCAACGTAATCATTGCAATGTGAACTGACATCCACAGTACAGCTCTGTCACATTGCTAATCTGGGTGCCTCAGGTGTAATTTTCATACTGAATTCAGGTGGGAAAGAGCTGGGAACCATCTGGGTGTTTAGATCAGCTGTGCTCTGCCTGGGAGGGTTTGTCTGCTCCTGGTGGTGGGACATCTCACAGCCTACCAATAAAACCAGAAAGCTTTCTTCAGGTTTCAAAGCTATTTGACCTGCTCTCCCAAAAGACAGCAGTGTTTCTTCTGACTGCCTTCTCTGCTCTTTCACATGTGCTCGTGTGAGCGTTGTGATTAAAGCCAGAAAATGAGTGCAAATCCTTGTGCTTTGCAGCAGTGTCCAGACTTAGCTAACTTGGGCTTTTATGAATATTTCTGTTAATGTCAGCACAGTCCTTGTGCATAGAGGTAGTTGTGCTGAACTGAGATCAGTATGCAGCCTGTGGTTGCATTTGGCATGCATCACTTCTTGTTGCTGTTTTGCTTTTTCTCATGCTTTCTTTCTCATACTAAAGTTTTTCACACTTTTGTAATACCTTTCTCCAAGGTCTTGTTAGGTGAGCCCTATTCTTTTTTCCCCTGTTTTTTTACCTTTATTTTTTCCCACGTAGCATCTCTCTTCCCTTGTCTCTCAATTCTTCTCTTTGTAACTATTCAACTATTTTTATTATTTTTCTCCTTCTGCTCTTAATTTTAGCACTGAGGATAAATACTGACAACTGCAAATGCAGAAATAAATAAACAAATAAATAAAACTGGGCTACATAACAACAAAATATGAACAGCCTACAGCTTTTTGTGCTATTTAAGAACCTCAGTCCAAAATCTTGGAGACAAAGAGCCACCTGGAAAAGGTGTCGTCTCACCTGTGCCTTTGGTGAGGGCCTTATAAAAGATGACAAGCTATGTCATAATGCTTACTTCACAGATGAGTGGTTAAAAGAAATGAGCAAAGGTAGGTTTTGAAACACGACATGCTTCAGTTTAATAGCATCACTTAGAAATGGGATGGGGTTCTCTTGAAAGAAGAAATAAAACGAGTATTTTCCTTTAAGTGCAGGTCTGCCAGATACATAAACACCATCTCTGTCTAAATTATCTTTACGTGTTTTGCTCTTCTCCCTTCAGCGATTTCAGAACCTTTCTCTATACAAATGATGCTAATTTGATCATAGGCAGGCAAAACGTTTTAAATCAAACGATTAATTTAACATAATGAAATTTAAAGGAAGCCAAATTAGTTTTGTACGCCTTTAATGAAATGCTAATAGAGTGTTGCATTCCTGTTTGTCGCTGAAAGCTTCTGAAAATTAAAATCTGTTTGACACAAATTCAGATCCTGTATTGTTTCCTCCTTTGGAGGCATTGGCTAAGGCCACACATCATCAGAAGTTGCCATTGGTAGCAGCACTTCAGCATCTGACTGCCTTTCTTGGGTTTTATTTTATACCACTTCAAATCCTTGAGACAGTTTGTAGATATTTTCATGGATAATTTCATTAAGGTTGGAAAAGGCCTCTAAGACCCCCACATCCAATCCCACCCCGCCTGCACCATGCACACAAACCATGTCCCTGAATGTAACCATAGGGGGATTATTCGGGTTGGAAAGACCTCTCAGATCCCACAAACCAACCCAGCCCACCCTCCCCATGCCCACATCCCTCAATGCCACATCCCTGTGGTTCTGGAGCCCCCTGCAGGGACAAGGGCCCCCCACTCCCTGGACAGCTGTACCAGTGCATCATCAGTCTTTTGGAGGAGTTTTTCCTAATACCCAACCTAAGCTTCTCCTGAGGTTCTCACTGAAGGTCTTACAGCTGTAGATGAAGGAAGAAGGGCTGTTCCTGCACCCCTGTTGCCACCCAGGCTGGCACCCACCGCCGTGCACTATTCCTTACCTTGGAAATTGCTAGCTGAGATCTGCAGCCCGGAGTTGATGACCTGAGCACAGGTCACTTGAAAGAGCCCATACGTGAGGCTGACAGTAGTGGTAGAGTTCCCTCCAGAGAATCTGACCTCGCTGTTCATCCACGCCTGCGTTCCCAGAACGGCACAAATGATGACAAAAGATGCAATGCTGGTGAAAAAAGCACCTCCATACATCAGCGTTTTCTGTCTGGTTGGCATTTTGGCTGGCAGATTTGCCACAGGTTCAGATTTCCTTCCCTTCGGCCCTGTTGGGCATACGGTTGTTCCTCCTTTTGCTCCCTGGAACCTGCTCTGAAAGTTATCCTGGTAAACTTTAAGCAGGCAGCAGAAGTCATAAAAATGTAAAATAACTGAACTTTGGTCTGGAGAAGAGGCGTTACCATGGCTGTACCCAAACACCCCTGACGTGGAGGGGAGGGAGCTGCTGCTGCCGGGAAGTGACTCAGTGCCCATAGAGGGGATTCCCACAGCTCCCCCCCCCCCCAGCAATTCTGGAGCCCAAACGGAACTCCCTGACCACATTTCCTGGATTTCTCTTCTCCCAGGTATTTAGTGATAGGTCATGGCCTCGAGTGGCACCGGGGGAGGTTCAGCTTGGGCATCAGGAAAAAATTGTTCTTGCACCCGCACAGGCTGCCCAGGGAGTGGTGGGATCAGCATCCTGGAGGTGTTCCAGAACCACGGGCATGTGGTGGTCTGGGGTTGGATTTGAGGATCTGAAAGGTATTTTCCAACTGCCATGGCCCTGTGATTGTATTCCTGTGTTTTCTTCTGGAAGGTTGGTACTTAGTCTGGAAACAATTTTTGCTAGCTCCACACCCAGATCCCTTTGGAAGCAAGCGATAGATTCTGATTTCTTACAGTGAAGATGGGTGAGTGCTCCTTTGCTCTGCTGACTCCCTGCTTCTTTAACAGCTGCACTCCACTTCTGGGACCTTTTACATTCTTGATGCTCCCTGTGACAGGACTGGGCTGCTCTGGGCCATTTCAGGGTGAAGGATTTTCCGTGTCGTATCAAAAAATCTTTTTTTTCCTAAGGAAAAGCTGTACATCTTTATTAAACTCCATATGTTTTCATACAATACCTATTCCCTCTTCCTCGTTTTTTGTTGTTGTTGTTGTTTCTTTGCTTGTTTGGGCTCTGTTAAGTTCCAGTCAATTTCTCTAAGCATCGCTTGCTTTAGATGTGTAATGATCTTTGATTGCACTTTACCAATGGGGCTTTCAGCCTTCAGCTCTTGTTCAGCTCAGACATGAAATATGCATTATTTGCTGGTTGCCTAACTGCTCTACAGGGAGGAAACAAACACCTTAAAGAGGGATTCATTTCAGTGGGCTGGTGAATGTGTAAAGGAGGCAATACAGAAGGAAATCTGCCCTGGGCGATTCAGCAGGAGAAACATTACAGTGGAAGTCAAGTTTGAAATCAATGCATTTTATTTCTGAGATGTACTGCTGGTATTCTGTGTGATACGGTCTCATGTATATTTTTATTTTATATGGGATTTAAAGGATACTTTTGATGTCATTGCTTTTATGAATGTATACATTTTATGTACCTTGCATATACTTTCATAGACAGTCAAACTTTGAGTGCATGCATGCTTTAAGCACTGGAGACCCAAGGGAAGATTTCAGCCCTTCTAAACAAATGAGGAACAGGAGACCTGCCTTCCATTTTCCTCCCAGACCTTCAGTTAAATTTTAACCACAGAAGGACGGATAAACTTCCTTATGATCACCACTCTGGGTCTGTCTGTCCATTTTCTCCACCCTTTGGTCCGTGCTGCTGGGGAGGAGTGAGTGATCCTTTCCCAGAGAGCTTCTCCCTTTACTGGGTGAAGCACAGGCAGTAGAAAGCTTCTGCCTTGGTTCAGCTGTGCTGCTTGACCCACTATGAAATACATTTAAAAGATATATATTGAAATATTAATATTTGTCCTGGTATTGAAGTTGAGGGAGCGCTTTTTCAGCAGCTGCTCAGCAGACCTCCTTTGGCAGACTTGAGAGAACCCAATACAGGCAAGCTGAGCAACAGAGCTGCAAGGCATAACGTGTAGTTCCTTTCTAAAAGATCTTATTCAATTATTCTCAGTTTTCAGGGACTCAGCTCAAATTTTTGTGGCTCGAATTGTTGAAACTCTCCTGCAGCCAGGGGAATCACCCTGTAAATGAGCCCATAATTTGCCCTTTTCTTCCTTGTTACCTTGAAGTTAATCCATCCTCTGTTGCTGGTACCATTGCTTGTGTCTTTTCTTCCCATAGCCACATAAAAAACCATTGTATCTCCTGTATTTTGAGAAGCATTTATGCATTTCATAACCTTTCCAGAGCAAAACCATCACTTTGCAATGCCATGCTCCTGCTAAATCCTAAAGATTAAACTATAGCTCTATGTGGGGAGGGTTCCTCCTACAATGGCAGCATTTCCATGCCTTGCTCCAGATCAGGAACTCTCATGGAAATTCGGTCTGACATGGCACACCTCATTGCTTCAGGGAAAAGAGAAGAGATGGGCTTCATCCAGCTGTGATAAAATGTGTCTCTATCAGTAATTTACCAGCTCTGCTCCAGCTAGCGATGCTGCAGTCCTTACACAGCAGTCAAAAAAAATAAATAAATCAGAGTAACTCACAGGGACGCAGACAGCAGAGAGATGTGGAATAAAATTACACACAGCCTTGTATTTTTAAAGGAGGAATATGTATTTATCTCATATTAATGTGCAAGTTTGCTTCAGGCAACTAGGTCTGCTGTAAAACAAACATATGTATATATATACAGGTATATATAATGAAAGTTTTATTTGTGAACGGAATGTTCCAGCCTGCTGCTGATTCAGACAGGCCATATCCTGTGCCCCTGCTGATCACTGAATGGCCTCACAGCTGGTCCAAAGGCATTTTCCTATGGTGGGTTATGACATTTCACATGGATTTCTCTTCCTGTGTTGCACACATGCTCTGAAATGAGGACCCAGCCATGCAGACACAGTGCAGCAGCTTGCAGGCCATGTGCTCACCTATACCCTGCAGCCAGAAAAAATTCAAGGTGAGCCACTGCAGGTCATCTGTTCTGCTGCAAAAGCAGCATTTAACAGTGTTCACTGGCAGTTTACAAAATCCCATATTTAGTTTAAATCTTTCACTTAGAAAAATGTCAGGAGATAAGTTAACATAGCATCGTGGTTGGCCTGTAGGTATGTGCTGTATTCCTGGGAGCCCACTGTTTCAGTGCACCCTTGCAGATCTCACATACCCTTTACATCCATTTTATTTTCCATTTTCCATGTCTAGTCGCAGAGGAGAGCTAAGAAGGCAAAGTCCTTGAGCTGCTCTTGGCTCCAAAAGGGGGTCAATAATCATCCACGTGTGCACAGCACTGCAGGAGGAGGCTGTGCATTACTAATTATCTCTACCTCTTCTAAGCTGGATAAAAGGTAATTGAAACAACTTGCTGGAAGTGTAATAGAGAATACTATGAATGAGATTGATTGATTTTTCTTTTTTCTTTTTTCTTTTTTTTCTGGTAGCTTTGCAGCCAGCGTTCTGAGTGGTGATGGAAATAGGAATCTGCTGATGCCTTTTGGGCTGGCTGAGGGAAATCAGGTAAAGCATCATGAATTTTATTGTAGCTGGAGATGGAAATCGGAAGCTCAGCTGAATTTTTGCCAAATTATTGCAACAGCTGTTTGGGAAACTTGGATGTGATCACAACATTTTGTGTATCTGCTCCCAGCGCTGCTGTGCGGTGGATTTGTACTCCTGCATCTTCCGACTTTGTTCTCTATTGCTCTGATCCTTTTTACAGCACTGCTGCAGGAAAAAAAACAAACACGTTTCAAATGCTGATTGGATTTCCTCACAGAAATGACTAAATCTCCTCAATGGACAGGTATTGACTTCTCTCTCTGGGTATCAGAAAGTGCTGCTCCCAACCCTGCGAGCAGCAGCCATGCTGGGAGCAGCCACCAGGAGCAGTGATTGTTGGCTTCACCCTGGACAGAGAAAAAGGAGGGATCGTAAATCATAGAATGGCTTGGGTTGGAAGGGACCTCAAGGATCATGAAGCTCCAACCCCCCTGATACATGCAGGGCTGCCAACCTCCATATCTAACACTAGACCAGGCTGCCCTGGGTCCCATCCAACCTGGCCTTGAACACCTCCAGGGATGGAGCATCCACAGCCTCTCTGGGCAGCTGCTCCAGCACCTCACCACTCTCATAGTATATAAAAGAAGGAAGGAAGATCCCAAAGCCACCATGTTGGTATCAACACAAATGTGATGGGAAAAATCCTCTTTTAAAATGTTCACCTGCTGTAAAAGAGCATCCTTCAGTTTCACCATCTGAGCGAGCTGTCTGCTGTCTCCTCGGACATCCTCAGGCACAAGTTGTGCTGCTCCCAAATATCACTGTAATGTATTTGCTACCCAGACACACAAACGCCTCATGGCAGAACTCATTTCATCTCAGTAGAGAAGAAGTGATGTTCAGCAGTATTCCCACTTGCTGTACCCACATGGGACTTGCCAGGTGCTCAGGCCCAGGGCTGGGTTTGCTTCTTGAAACCCTTAGAAAAAAAATAGTGCTGTCCATTGCAGTAAAGTAAGAAGTTAAAAAAACAAAAAAACAAAACTTGGAAAACATACAGATGTTTTTTTCATTTTCCTTTAACCTTGAGGGTTAAAAGGTATAATTGCCCTGAAAGATGACTGTTACAAGACTTTAATCTTTAAAACAACATCATCAGACATCAAGTAGCTGCTACCATTCCTGACTGAACACTTCAAGCTGGATGGTCAGATAGAGCTTGTTGAAGAGCAGGGAAAAAGCTTTCTGGTCTTGTGTGAAGCAGTCACTGCTTTTCAATTTATTATTATTTTTTTTTCTATTTAATGAAATGTGACTTAGAGCTTCTTCAAAGCATATAATGTTTAGAACAAATCCTGGAGGTGGAGATAGAGGGAAGAGCTGGCAGAGCAGGCTTTCATTTACTGCAATTTCTGTAACAATTATAAAGACAAGTCGTCTCGAATACTTAAAGACATCCCCAGAAACCTTTAAATTTAGATTCCAAATGTAAGAATCCGAGACAAATGTCTTTGAAGTTATTAAATTAGCTGCTGCTGTAATGTTACGTATTGTCACGCCTTCGTCCAATGACTCTCACTTTAAAGACTTTATTGTGTTTTTAACCTGAGATAAATTTCCTGTTATAAAAATGATGCCTATATCTGTTATTTGATGTTCTGCCTCTGATTTTGTAATTTCTCCAGCATGTTTACAATGTGAGTTCCAGGGGATTGGTGAAGACCCAGATGTACTGTGCTGCTCCCAAGTGTACCAGGGCCAATTATTTATCAATAGATGTCTTCCTCACTGCAGTGAGGCTCACTATAGAAGGAATCACAGGAAGAATCACAGAATGGCCTGGGTTGCAAAGGAGCACAATGCTCATCCAGTTCCAACCCCCTGCTGTGTGCAGGTCACCAACCAGCAGCCCAGGCTGCCCAGAGCCACATCCAGCCTGGCCTTGAATGCCTGCAGGGATGGGGCATCCACAGCCTCCTTGGGCAACCTGTGCCAGTGCCTCACCACCCTCTGGGGGAAAAACTTCCTCCTAATATCCAACCTAAAACTCCCCTGTCTCAGTTTAAAACCATTCCCCTTGTCCTATCACCATCCACCCTCACAAACAGCCATTCCCCCTCCTGTTCATCCGCTCCCTTCAAGTACTAGAAGGCCACAATGAGGTCTCCCAGGAGTCTTCTCCAAGCTAAACAAGCCCAGTTCCTTCAACCTTTCTTCATCAGAGAGGTGTTCCAGCCCTCTGATGGTCAATCATCATGCTGGGATATTTGAAATAAACATCTGATGTTAAAATATCACCTGCTTCCCATCAGGTTTCTCTCTCTTGGACCAAGGAGGTCGCTTTGCACCAGGCAGTAGCAAAGTGGCTGTAATTGTTGGTGAGCAGCGGGTGCTGGGTCCTGCCAGAAGGCTGCCGCAGGTCTCACAGCACACTGGGAGGAAGGAGGAACTGACTGCCAAAGAGCTGACAGTGCTGAGGATGTGGTTGATTTGTGATGAAGAGAGAGGAAAAGACAGGGGAGCAGCGGGCTGTAAGACGGACAAAGAACAGTCACTGCTGGAGCCTCGTTGGGATGAACACACAGTCACTGCTGCTTATTCCCTTTGTTTTGCTGCAACATTTCAAATTTCTTGCATTTATTTTACGTTAAAGCAGTGGAGCCCTGTCAGTGCAGCCTTGCTTTTGATCCTTTTCATCATCATTCATCACCCACCAGCCCAGGCTGCCCAGAGCCACATCCAGCCTGGCCTTGAATGCCTGCAGGGATGGGGCATCCACAGCCTCCTTGGGCAACCTGTGCCAGTGCCTCACCACCCTCTGGGGGAAAAACTTCCTCCTAATATCCAACCTAAACCTCCCCTGTCTCAGTTTAAAACCATTCCCCCTTGTCCTATCGAAGGACAGCAACTGAAGATAAAATCAGCCTCTCTTGTTCCCAGGTAATGCATTAATAACTGTAACATGTATTATCTTTGTTTCTTTTTTGTGCAACTCGAGTTTCACTTTTCTTCCTCACCACTAATTAATTTCTGATCCACAATAAAACAGCATTTCCAATTTCTGCACTATCAGAAAACACGATTGTACCCAGCACGTGTCATAATCCCATCTATTTGAGTGCTTGGATAAATGCAGTCGTTCAAATTAATACACAATTTCTTGCAAACATTCACTCGCGAGGAAATTGCTGACTTGCACCACTCCATCCACCAAAGGGTTCATTAAGACCAGTGCCTTCCTGGTGCTGTGCAAATGGGCCTGCTGAAAGGTCTTAGTGCCATAAATCGCTGCTTCCCAGTCATCGTGGTGCCAAAGGGACGTTGTTATGAGACCATTAAGCAGACACGGATATTCACAGATGCACCAGTATTTTGTTCTGATGGTATTCTACAATCCCCAGTAGTCTGATATCCTTCAGTACAACTGAAATAAAGGCGGTGCACGTAGATGGGGTGTTTGAAAGTTCATGGAATCACACGATGTCTGAGCTGGAAGGGACATCTAAAGGCCACGTGGTCCCACTCCCTGCAGTGCAAAGGGACACCCACACCTCCACCAGTGCTCAGAGCCCATCCCCTGCCCTTTGTGCCTGCAGGGATGGGGACCACCACCTCTCCGGGCAGCTCATGCAGTGCCTCATAGCTGTGTGTGTTTAAGGCACTCCTGGGGGAGAGATTTCTTTTTTCTCTGTACCCCAGGCTAAGCGTTTGTGGGACTGAAGACAAAGGAGGGCAAGGCGTGAAGTTGGGCTCGTTGATCCTCTCCCTCCCCTCGGTAATCCCTTCCTCCCTGTCCTACTTTCCAGCTTGATGTTTCTATTCTGGGTTCCTCTGCCCTGCCTTGCTGCTCATGGTGGGTAGCACTGTAACGAGGCTGTCTGTGGGACTTGGGTTTGGAGCCCAGAGGGTGCCGGGGTCCCTCCAGGTGGGGAATTAAGAGGGAAACAAAGAGGGAAACAAAGGAAGCCCTCGTGTATACACGTGATGGAATCAACTCAGCTTAATTAGGGCTAGAAGGGTCCTGCGTGCCCAGCCAAGGGGAAGGGACAGCCTCAAAGCTCAGGGGTTCAGGACCGGGCTGGAGCTGGGTCCTAGGCACTCCCAGGGATGAACGCCCACACTGATGGAGGCACTCCGTGCGGATGTCGGAGCTCTCAGAGCTGAATCCCCTCCTCTCCCAGCAGAAAGCGGCTCCACGCGCCCCACCGCCGCCACGCGCGCCGGCCGTCAGCGCCCTCCCTCAGGTGAGCGGCGCGGAGCCGCCGATACGGGAGGCGTCCGCCAGGCGGCTCCGCTGAGGGGAGGCGGCGGCGGAGTGAAATTTCCTGCCTGGCCGCCGCCTCTGCCCAGCGCCGGAGACCGTCAGGGCGTCCCGCGGTCCGGCGCCCGGGGCCCGGCAGCCGCCAGCGGAGCGCGGCGGCGGCGGGAGGGCTGAGAGGCGACGGGAGCTTCGGCGGTGAGCGGGCTGCGTCCGTGGGGGCAGGTGGGAGCCGCGGGGCGGGGCTCCCATAGCGGCCGTGCGGGGCTCCGGCGGCGCGGCGGTCGCGGTTGGGATGCGGCTGCGGGGCCGTGCGGAAGCGGTGAGTGCCGCTCTGAGCGCCGCGCTCCGTCCGTGCCGGTGCCGGTACCGATAGCGGCCCTCCCGCTGCCCGGCGGTTCTGAGCCGCCTCGAACTTCGTGTTTTACGTGGGCCGATGTGGGGGTGAGGAGGAGAGGGGGGGGGGGGGGGGAATGACACGAGGCTTCGGTGGAAACGCGCTTGTCTTCTGCATCCCAATCCAAGCCCTCGGTGGTAACCCCCCGCCCCGCTTGTGGTTTTGCTTAAAATGGGGAAAAAAAATAATGCCGGAGCTCAGCAATAACGCGTGGACAACTTCTGACCGTCTGCGGTGAGATGTGCTGCGCTGCTTCAGAAAGGGCTGGCGGGGAGCAGATGGCTCCGAGTCTCCTCTCCTCTCCTCTCCTCTCCTCTCCTCTCCTCTCCTCTCCTCTCCTCTCCTCTCCTCTCCTCTCCTCTCCCCGTGTGACAGCGGTTGGTAATGGGGTGATGCCAAAAGCGATGGCCTGGCTGGGTTCTGAGGTGCTGCCGGTGCTGCAGGAAGCAGAGATAAGGGCTGAGGATTGAGAAATGCTCTGTAGTGGGAAATGCTGCTATTTGCATGGGCACGATGTGCTTGAAGGACCCCTAAACGTGAATGCGGAGGTGAAGTTGGATGGAAATGAGTGATGTTTGGCTGGTAGCTCACGGTGTCATCTTGGATAGATCTCCACGTGGGTCACTGGGAGCTCCCTAGTATGGTTTGTACGGTGGTCTTGGGGTCACTGTTCCTGCTGGGGCTGACCTGGGGCTCCTTGTGCTGGGGGCCACGGCTGTGCCACCTGATTCCTTCAGTTTGCTTTGTCTTTGCCTGCAAATAGAGGAACGGCGCAGGTGCTGTGTTGTGTTGCACCGGCCATCTGTGCTGGCTGTGCTTTGGGTAACAGATGCTGTATCAGTAAATGCATGTAGCTTGTTTTACCAAGTTAAGAAATAAGCACGGAGCTCCTTGTTTAAAAGCTTCCTAGGCACCTTTAGCAGAACCAGAGATCTTTATATACCTCAGTCAGCACGACTGTGATGTTTAGGCTGTTGCAACCTATCCTGAGCCTGTGGAGCACAGGTGTTATTTTAACACATTTGAGTCCTTGTTTGCTTCAGTGTTTCACTTTCTTTTCCACTTTTCTATATGATATGTTTATGTTTATCTGCTTTAAGCGAGAGGGAGTTGGGTTGGGAGAGTTTGTATTTTCTCACTATCTTTCTTACAGGGTGGTCTGAGCATCGTTACAGTGAGAGCTGCACTTTTAAACCATTGCCGCTGATTGCAAGACAGCTGCCTCACCGTGCGTGTGCTCTCTCATGAGATGGACAAGCAGTGCTTCAGGTTGGTTGCACAGCTGTGCACCATGGCTGCAGGCCAGTCTTGTTGGCTGCACTGCTGTCAGGGCAGGCACAGCAGTTCTCAGGCTGCTGTGTGGCTCAGTGGCTTTCCTCCTTTAAGTTGCTGTGCAGGGCAGCTGTTCAATACCTTGAAGTATGGGAGGTTTTTGACTGTATCCCCTTTGAATGTTGCTGTTGTTTTGTAAACCTTTTATTTGTATGACATGTATAGCATGTCAAGCTCTGTTTCCAAAATAATCTTCAGGGTGGGTTTAATATCAGCTGGAGATCCTGCAGCTGGAGATTGTATGGGATGTGCTGGGATGCATCTTCGCTCATTACTGATGGTCCTGGAGAGGACACCGTGCCGTGTCCTGGTACATGTTTGATTTTATTAATAAGAGCAAAGGGCCCTTGGGAGCTCTGTCAGGTTACAAGAGTGATGTGCTCGGAGCAGATGGGGAGATGGGAAAGAAATTAAAACAGAAGGTGGGTGTTGTAATTGTAGTGCTGAGTTCAGGGCTGACCGCAAGGCCTGGCCCTGCTCTGGATGCTGGGCTGTGTGTCAGAGAAGCACCTGCTTGCAAGTTGCTGCCTGTGCAGTGTGTGGAGCTCTTGCTGCCCACGCGGCGGTCAGAGGCTCCCAGCATCACCACTGGTTTTGGCACCTGGTTTTATTTTACTGCACTCTGGACACCGTATTAAGGAAAACTGATCTGAAATGTAACG